CGCACGAGCCACTAGAAACAGATTTGAGTGTGTAGAGACCAGGCTCCGAAACATATGGCTTGTCGTGGGAGTTGGCTGCGGTGAAAGAACCCAAGGAAACCTGATCGCCGTGGTCTCCGCTGTTGGTCAAAGAGTCGATGGGCGAGAACTCCCAAGTCAAAGTGTGCGAAGTATCCGGGTTCTTCCCGGCTATCGAGAAACTGACAGGAAGTCTCGCCTTCTGGCCCTTGGCAACCTTGACCGGTTTGCGTAGGTCACAATCTTGCAAACGAGCTCTGGGCCGCTCCTTGACGAAGAAGTTGCGTGCCAGATGCTTAGGCCGGGGACTCACTTCCGCATCTTCGGCAGATGGAGCGTACTTCTGAACGTTGCCGAAGCCATCCGTAACCTCGTCCACGGCGTACTGCCACTGTCCTGGGCTATCCAGCGTCTCATTGATGCGCACGGCCACCGTATGGGGCTTGACCCAGGAGATGTCTTCGTCACCAACTTGAGTTAACGAAGAAGATGGTGTACCGAGTAAAGGTGAGGTGTAGTCTTCGGGCTGCAAGCTCTGGAAATGAAAGCTGCGATCGTTGTCTTTTCCTGTCCGACTGTAGACAATTTTCAGGGGCGGCGTTCCAGTGACGTCAACAAGTAAGTTGGACAAGTCCCTGATGCACCGGTCCTCTTTATCGGGCGTCCGAAAACCTGCCTTCGGGCACGGCACTACATAAGTATCCCTCGTTGTGCGTTGAACCTCAAGCTTGTATTCATCCAGAACCTTACCCAGGCGGTACACACCAGTCTTCTTGACTGGGTACTCGATAGAGTGAGCCAGTGGGTTTGACTCCGCCGTTTGGTCCTTGATCTGTTTTGCGATTTTGCGAACCTCCCTAGTGGACAGCTTAATCGTTTCTTCCAGATTGGTATCAAGGTCGATACGGATAAGCTCCATCTCAGCAGGCACTGTAGAGTTGAATTGTATGGGCAGTCGAATAGTCTCGTGCCCTTCGCCGATGCAAAATGGAGTTTGCTCGAAGTTGAGAACCGCAGAACTGTGTAGACCATGTCAGCAACAGAAAATGCAGTATTGTGCCTTATTAGATTCTTACCCTTCTGGCAAAATGTTGATGATCTGCCTGCCCATGATCAAGGAATGATTATGCAGGATGCTTGAAACCTTGACAGTGTTCTCAGAAACAGCCAACTCTCGGTCGTAGAAGACCTTGAGGAAGCCAATGAGCCATGGTTGCAAGGGAAGCTATCTGTGGTTAGCCTGGCCTCAGAAATGGCACATAACCTCCTGTACATACCGGAATGTTGAACATCAACATGAAGTTGAAGAAGGCGTGAATGAGGAAAATTGCCGTGACTACAGGCTGCGACAACTCCAGCCATGGTATTCTCATCTCCGGGAGGCCAAACAGGAAGCCAAAGTCAATAAAGACCCATTTCAGGAATAGCCATGCCGACGTATCGTTATCCTCCACAAGCTTGATCCAGTCGTAGAATCGCCATGCCAGCAGCCCGACGTAAATGGCAAAGGCATAGAAGCGCTGTTGCGGAGCATCGAGGATGGTCAGGGGAATGACGGGCTCGGTCGCAGGGCCATTTCGAGTCGCACTCTCGGGGGCTTGAGGAAGTGAAGATGTGCGGTGACTGCTCTTCTGGGAGGAAACGGAGGAGTTCGGGTCGGGATCCTGTCGTCGGGCTGGTGTTTGTGGAAAGCCACCAGTCCGCTGTCTCGGTGTTGCGCTCATCGCATGCCGTTTTCAAGGTCGCCTCATAAGAGTCGGAGTATGCTGTGGTTGTCGATGATGGGTGGATCTTACGCTCCGAACGATGCGAAGTGTAGGCGTCGGGTATTAAAAGGGGCTTGCCCGGCGTTGCAAGCTATTGTTGACGTCGTGGAGGTATGGAACTTGGAAAGCTGCAGCGGGAATCCAGAAGCTTCAAAATTTCCAGTGAATGTTCGTCACGTCCAAACGCGCCTGGCAACAACACCCACCCGGTGTGTACTCATCTATTTTGATTGGTGTAGAGCTGCTATAGCGGGTCCACCTCGGGATACTAACAGGGTCTCGGTTTGCTGGCACCTGGCGAACAAGGCCTATACGCTGTGTGAAAGCTGAGAGGACCCGCCTTCCTCCTCTGTTGACGTAGCTGGGGAGCTGCAGCCTGCCCGTTGTCGATGGACGATCCCCGCCATGTTCTGAAGCTTATCTTGACACAATATCTGTACCGCCGCCTATTATCGCCAGCCGTATAAACCCAAAGTGAGCAGGAAAGCTACGACTCAGTTACCTTGGCTCGAAAGAGGTCTATCTCTCCATCCAATGTATAGTCTCAAGTAGATAGGAGGCTCTCGGAGAAATGAATATCCTCCCAAGTTCTCAAGCCATCACATGTAATGGAGGTAAGTCTGTATCGCATCTTCTCTCGTCAAATGGGTGATATTTCACCCTGCGTTACTACAATAAAGAATGATCTCTTTCTTACATCCTGTCATGTCGCTCCTTACACAACCAGAGCATCAAATATGGCCTGGTCAATGGAGCTCATGTTCCGAGTTCCAAGGCAAAAGTTCCATTTGTAAACCCCTTCACATTGTCCTTGGTCCTCAAAGGCAACCGTAGGTCAAGGGCACCTTCATTCGACAGAACCAACAACGAAATGTTTGCCCATCATCAGTAGACAAGATCTCCTACCTTTTTTTTTCCCCTTTTAATCGACTGAAAACCGAACACCATCTTCAATTTAATCCCTTTCTTACCGCCCTTTCTCTCCCACCCACCACTGCCTGTATTCTGCACCACTTGCTCAATACCAACTCTTTCTACGAACTTCTGACAGAATCACTCTTCACTTTGATTTCTCATTCCAAATCATCAAACAAGCGACTGAAGCCAGCACGTTACAAGGCATTTGTCAACATGGCCTCAGTTGCGCCTGCTCCTGCTAATATGCCGCGAAGGCAGCTGCGAAGTCGCCAAGCAAGTGCAGCAGCTGTGGTGCCTCCAACGACCAAAGCTCAACAAACGTCTGACGTACCTTCACCTATAGACCACGAACGTGACATCTACGCAATCAAATCCAGCCCGCAGCAAGCCAATGTGGCTCTCGAGGTAGAGGGCGAGCCCGATTGCTCGCCAGAAGCCGGCCGGCTGCGGAAGAGGAAGGAATCGCCCTGCGAGGCTGACGGTGACGCTGAAGGTGAAGCTGTCGCAATTGCTATGGCCGCCGGCTCAAGGCGGAATCCCAAGCGCAAAGCTACCGAGACGGCTGCCGCCTCTAGCGAGTCGAAAGACTACCAGACACTTCTCCGTGAATCTCTGGCGCCCTTGGGTGAGGATGAGCTCAAGGAGTGGGAGGGTTGGTGTGAGGTGGAATCTGAACCTGTGCGTTGACCCGCGTTTCCAACTATCTACCCCAGCTTCGATCCTCAAACTGATGCTAATCCTTTTTCAGGCCTTCTTTAATGCTATGTTACGAGAGATGGGCGTCAAGGATGTCAAGGTCCAAGAGGTCTTCGCGGTTGATGAAGACTACGTAGCGACTCTTCCGCAACCCGTTTATGGTCTCATCTTTCTCTACCAATACTTCTCTGAGAACTACGAGGACGACTCGGTCGTCGACAGCCGCGACGTTTGGTTTGCAAATCAGGTATGACTCTCTCTCATCTGCCCCTCTCCCCCCTCCCCCCCCCCACCTTCGACCGCAAAGAAAATACTCACACAGAGCTTCACAGACGACAGACAACGCCTGCGCAACCGTCGCCATGACCAACATCATCATGAACAGCCCAGGAGTCGATCTAGGCAAGGATCTCCAAGCCTTCAAGGACTCTACAAGCAGCCTCAGCACCCCGCTCCGCGGCCACGCCCTGGGCTCAAACACCTTTATCCGCTCCGTCCACAACTCCTTCACCCGGAGAATGGACCACCTGAATGCCGACCTCGTCCTCGAGATCGAGGCGTCAGAGTCCAAGAAGAAGACGAAGCGCAGAGGGCCGGCACAGAAGACGAAGAAGAGCAAGAAGCAAAAGATTGACGAGGAGTCGGGATTCCACTTCATCGCCTACGTACCGGCTAATGGCTCGGTCTGGGAGCTGGATGGTCTCAAGACGAGGCCCGTCTGCATCGGCCCCCTCGAGGAGGGCGTCCACTGGGCTGAACTGGTCCAGCCCGAGATCCAGGCGCGCATGCTCCAGTTTGAGGATACCGCCCTCACCTTCAACCTCCTTGCGCTCTGTAAGAGCCCGTTGGGGATCTTGTCGGGAGAAATCGCGGGCACCCTCCGCTCTTTCGAGCTTCTGAAGAAGCGCACAAATAACCTCGACGGCTGGCAGAGTCTCGTTGCCGGCAACGACCAGCCTCTTCTGAGCACCGACATTGAGCGCCTCGCCGGCTTCGGCATATCAGGATTGGATATACAACAGGCCCAAGTGGACCCAGCATTCGAGAGAAAAATCAAGAAGGCATCCACAGATATGGGAGAGCTCTTCAATCTCTACGATGATCTTGTGACGAAGCAGAAGTCTCTGATAGGAGAGTACAATGCTGAGATCGGTTCCGTGAATGAGGACAATGACCGTGTGCAGGGGCGGAAGAAGGACCACACTCCTGCGATCCATTCCTGGGTGCAGAAGCTGGCAGAGCACGGCGTGCTCGCGGATTGGGCAGCCAATTCTTAGGATGATTTGCAAAAGGGAGAGGCGAGAGTGACGTAGCACGGAATTGCGAGGGATCGATATCGATTCACTTCGGGGGCGTTTGTGGTCTGGAAAACCGAGTAGATGGTTTTGCATGTGGCTTCGGCAAAGTAGCAAGTCTATCCACGTAGAGGCACATAGCCTCCATAGCCGTGCCTTTGTAAAAAGGCAGCAAAAAGGGCATACGAGTGTGCAAGACGTAAAAATTCATTATTATTTTAAGAAGTAACTTCTTGTGAACTACGTCAATCATGGTAAAACCTCACATCACTCTCCTTCAGCCGTCAAACCCCACAATGCCCAGTATTTATACTGGCGTATAGACGACCTCATTGTTGGAAGGGATGAATGTGCACTTTTCTCTATCAAATTGCTTGAAGAATAATCCAGTGTCGGGGAAAAATGCTGCTTGTGCTTCCTCAGGATCGCGCACGAGTTCAAGGCTCGAGGCCTTGACCAATGAAAAGGTTCCTTGCATGCTTGGGGGAGTTCTGGTGTATTGTTAGAGATTTTTCCATTGTTCATCAGTCTCGTCAGTTAACTCACAATAGCCTGTAATACAGGATCGATCCCTGTGCCATCTCTCCGTCAGTCACAACCCCAACAAAGCCGTATCTACCATGCCGGACAACATTGCCGATCTTGTACTCCAGGTTTATCTGGGAATCTCGTAACACAGGCTGCTGCTCATCTGCTCGTCGAATGAGGCGAAGTATGTATTCTGGGTTTGGGGCAGCAAGAAACACATCGCCATGCGGTTGTGGCCGAGTAATGTAAATCTTCTCTACGATCCAGGCGTCATCGAAGCGCAGCGAGTTGAACCGTAATGCGAAATGTGATGTCACATCAACAAAAGCATCAGGGTCCAGGAGAGTTGTTGCCCAGGCGGCGGCGTAGACGGATAATTCAAGGTTCTGGAGAGCGGTCCCAGCCCCGAGTCCAGCCAATCTCTCTATAGACACGTCCTGAGACGTGTAAACGAGGTTGGTATGCCGTATATTGTGTGCAAGACGTCCAATCATTGTTGATACGGCTGCCGGTGCCATTGTTTCGACATCTAGACTGTGCCACCCGACCTGGGCAATGAACTGTCGCAGCGTCTCCTTGCTGAACTCCTCATCGCCCCCATATGGGTCCAAGTACATCCTCTCAAGTTGCCTTGATGGATCCGTGACTCTGGAGCCATCCAACTTGAATTCTGGCGTCGCGAAGACCATTGAAAGCACATGGCCTGGTAGCGCACAGCAGTGGGCATTCAATCCCAGCCTCTCGCCGACGCAACAGAAAATTGCTGCCGAAACCATTGGAAGTGACTGGTGGGTCGATGTTCGCAGCGCATGGCCAAGGAGGCAGTTCCGTAAATTGCGATAGTTGGTTTCAGGGTCGACCATACCGGTCAGATTGTTGGATCTCAGCCAACGATTCAGAGTTAGTGCCCTTTCTCGAATGCAAAGCCCGTCAAATTCGGGATGACCGCTCCGAAACTCGGCTGCGAGTTTGTCAAGAAGCTTGGAAACCTGCCATAGGGGTCAGTCGAAGAGATATAACACAAAAGCCCCGTAGAAGACCTACGTGGTCTATGTCACCCTCGTCGCCCTGAATGACAAACATATCAAAAGCAGCAAGTGCGCGCTCTAATCTTCCGGGCACAACTTTCGGAACTTGGTTGGGTCTCCAAGCTTCGCGTGCTTCATCACTGCGAAGGTTGTCCCAAATTTGGATGGCGTACCCACGGCGCATGCTGGCGAGAATGGCATTACTGAAATATCTAGGCGGAGTTGATCAGAATGCGCCAGCAAACGTTGCGTCAAAAGTTACCCACCTTCTGGCCAAGACGTCTTCGAAATGATCTGGGGTCTGGGCCTGGTTCAATAGAAAGTCCTTGGCGTCAAGACCAAGTAAGCAGATCTCTTCAAAATTCTTTACTCGACCATATTTGGTGGCCAATATTCCACGGAATTGGCTTGCAGCCTTGGCATTTCTTCTCTTGCGGAGTAGAAACAACTGCTTCCACAGAACGTTGGATGCAGGTTCTTCGAGTTTCTCATTGAACCTGTGACTGGGATGCCAGAACTTGAAGGCATGCAAACAGTAGTATCGCCACAAAATCGGTTCATTGGAAAGCCGGGCCAAGCGTCTCGATAGGAGGTTCGCTGTGACTAAGTTGTCCTCTGGTGAGATGTAATGCAGTATTTGGTGGATGATTTCATCTGGGATCTGGTCAAATGAGAGCATGGCGGCAGAAGCCTCATGCGCACACTATGAATTTGACGGGTAAAGGACACCGAAAAAGACCAGGATGGAAGCTGTCGAAAGCGTAGTCGGGGTAAGTTGGTGGGGTTTGCGGAAGACTTATACAGCTAGACAGAGTAAAGTCTTGATATGAGAACTGTGAAGACGATTTCAAATGGTGAGATAAAATCGATAACAGTCGTCTCTGTGAGCTGGTCATCCCAGGGTCGGTTTGTTTGGAGGCAGGTAAGGTAGTGACGTTTTGACGCTTGCAGTGTGAAGTGGTTGCATCACAAATCAATGGGAGGTTCTTTCCCACTTGTATCCGTAGTGTCTCAAGCTGCCCTGTGGAAAGAAGCAAGGTCCACCACGTTCATTGACGTTTTGTCGTCGAAAAGTGGGACTCTACCATGGGATTCTTAAACTGCGGAGACTCTGCTATTTCCTTTGGTTTGATTGGCTACAAGGTCATCCCGCTCATTGGTCTAAAAACCATGACTTGTTCCCTCTTTGTCCCACTACGCTAGTCCGAGATAGGCACACGAGTAAACAACACTCACAACGCGGTCCGGGATGCGACCGTGTACCCTTGGTCCCTTGCTGCTCTTTCAAAGTCCCGTCCACTATCAACACCGCGACCGACCGGGTTCTGAGCTATCGCAACCACACGAGATCTTATAGCTACGCAGACATTGCGCTTGCTTTCTTGCTTCGCACCACCACAGCGCACGCCATTCGTATATACTACTAACATACCACTGTTATGACCACACCTACGAGATCTCTATTCTGATCGCTCGTCGACTTCCCTCCCCCCCGTCTATAAGTCAAACGCGGCCAAGATGGTCGCCCCAGGTATCGGCGGTCTCGACACGCCGCGAACAAACATTGGCGATGCGACATACCTCAGCCGACAACCCGACTTCGATATGTCACAAGAGGTTTCTTTTCAGTCCCCTCCGGCAAAAGACAACAATTTGGTGCAACAAATGCGCAACGGGCGCTCTGGAGGCATCAACCTTCGCACACCGCGGGGTCGCGGACCCTTTGCAGACCGAAAAAACCTACCTGCAGGCCTCGGAGGAGCAGAATTCACACCTATGCTAAAGTCAGCAACGCGAAATAGCATCCGTCGAAGGTCTGGCAAGGAGAATGGTGCTGTGCCGAACACACCCGCACTGCTGAACAGAATCGACGAGGACATGACGCCAATTCCCAACATCGACACCTCTATGTACCAATCGCGGTCATTCGTGGATCGCACGCCACTCCCCGAAGTCGACAGCACGAGCACTGCGTCTACACCGCTTGTAGTCTTGCCGCGACGCGACGGAAAAGGTCCTCTGCAGGACGGAAACCAGCTGTCGCTTCGGGAGCAGGAGAGCGTAATCGATAAAATCGAAAAGGAAAACTTTGGCCTGAAACTCAAGATCCACTTCCTCGAGGAGGCTTTGCGGAAGGCCGGACCCGGCTTCAGCGAAGCCGCATTAAAAGAGAATACCGAGCTGAAGGTCGACAAGGTGACCATGACGAGGGAGCTTCACAAGTACAAGAAGCACCTGACATCGGCCGAGAAGGACCTCGAAAGCTACCGACAGCAAATGATGGATTTACAAGAGAGGGCCAAGAAGAAGTACGCAGACCAGAAACAACTAGCAGAGATTGAGCGACTGCAACAAGCCTTGGAGGATAGAGAAGCAGATCTCGACGACATGCAACGCCAATTGAGTCAGGGACAGAACGATCAAGGGCAGGTGGACAAGCTGCAAGATGAGATTGGTGATCTAGAAGCAGAACTTCGCGAGAAGGAGCGCCTTCTAGGAGATCACGAAGACGAAATTGACGAGCTCAAGGCGAAGCTGGACGACGCGGAGGACAATATGAAGGATGCCCAAAGACGAATGATCGAGCTTGAGCAACAGGGACAGTCTAACGACGATTTGGAAGAAGCAAGAGACACTATCGACGATCTGGAAACCAATGTCCGTCGCTTGGAAGAGCAGGTCGAAGAGATGAAAGACAAGCTCAACCAGGCCATCGCAGACAAGGAGCAAGCAAAGGGTGACTTGGAAGAACTTCAAGAGGAGCTGGCCAATAAGTCTATTGCCACGAAAGGGCTCTCGCGACAAAAGGAGGAGAAGCTTTTGCGCCTGCAGGCTGAGCTGGAGGAGTCCGACACGAGATTCGCCAATATCGAACAGCAGCTTTCCGAAACGATCAAGGAGAATGACGAACTCAAGAACGCTGCCAAGGAAGATCGCCGTGCCCGCGAAGCCTCTGAGCGCGACTACCAGTCACAGTTGGCCAGGATCGAACAGCAACTCTCCGACGTAACGACAGAGAAAGAAAGCCTCAAGAATGCCGCGCACGAGGGCCGTCAAGAACAAGAATTCTCTGATCGCGAACGCCAGTCGCTGCTGGCTCAAGTGGAAGATCTGAAAAGGGATTTGGAGGCCAGGCTGGACGAGAAGAATCTGCTGCAAAGTCGTCACGAGGCGTTGACAGGCGAGTCTGACTCCCTACAACGAGACGTGGCGCGCCTTCAAAAGAACGTGGATGATTTGGAGGAGAGCCTCGCCCAAGAGCGGGACCACGCCCTCGAGATCGAAAGGGATATCCGCAGCCAATACAGAGACGAAATCGACAGGCTTAATGACGAGATCTCGGACCTCCAGGCTGAAATTCGGGAGAAGGACAACCTTTACGACAACGACAGCGAAAAATGGGAAACAGACCGCCAAACTCTCGACTCAGAGCGCAAACGGGCGGAAGAGAAGGCCTCGGGCTTGGAAAGGACGATTGCAGCACTGCGCGAGGCTGAAGGTAACCTTTCAACAAAGGAATCAAGGTTGCAGGAAGCACTAGAGAGCGAAGCTCAACGTCACAAGGACGAGAGAGCATCCCTCACAAGGCAGATTGAGGACCTTCAGCAAAATCTCGAGACACGGCAGTCTATGCTTAATGAGTTACGGAATGAATTATCACAAGTTCAGGATGAGCTCCGTCAAACCCAGCTAGACTATCAAGCGCAGAGCGAGAAAATCGAGGGGCTGGAGGATGAAGTGGAGGTCCTTCAAACGACTTTGGACGAGGAATCGGAACATTCTCGCGAGGAACTGGGAGCTGCAAGAAAGGAGTGCGACGCGCTGAAGCTGGAGCTTGATGAGGCACACCGTGGTACGGCCTCGGTCTCTCAAGAGAACGCCAGCAAGTCAAATCAAGCCATCGAACGCCTCCGAGTTCAGCTTGACGAGGCCACATCACTCGTGTCGAAGTTGAATAAGGAGAAGGAATCACTCCAGGACAGGCTGCAAACTCAAATCTCTGAGTCTACTGTGCAGGTGAATAGGGTGTCTCGCGAGAAGCAGACGCTGCAAGATCAACTTGCCAACCTCAACCTCGAAATGCACTCGTTACGCAGCTCACTGGCCGAAGCAAGGGCAGAGCGTGATGAGGTTGAGAGCGAAATGAAGCGCTTGCACCAGAACGGCGAGGAGACTCTCCGCATCGATCGCGAGCGCTTGGACTTGAGAACGTCAAAGTTGAAGCTTGACAATGAGGTCCGGAGACTCAAGGACGAGAACGCGGCTTTGGCGGAGCAAATGCAGAACGTCGAAAAGTCTCTCGAAGATGAGATCGAGAAGGCTGCAGAAGAGGAGGACCGCCTCAACCAGGAAATTCGTCAGCTTCAAGCCAAGTTGAGAGAGGTGTCTTCATCGGAAGGTCACGAATCAGTTGCCACACGACGCACAATACGAGAACTCGAACGGCGAATTAGAGACTACGAAGACCAGCTCGCGACGACCCAACAACTCCCCGCTAATATCGGTGAGGGTAACAGCGAGATGTCCATTATCCGCCGTGATCTCTCTACGGCACGACAGAAGGAGCGGGAGCTCCTCCAACGTGAGGCAGCCCACAAGGATGTTGTCAAAGGTCTCAAGAAGCAAATCGCAGACCTGGAGCGCAATGCCCACGATGCTGAGATGTCCCGCCTCATCACGTCTCCAGCATCCTCGAGTCCTTCAGCCAGGAAATCCGAAGTCACTGAGCTGCGTCATCAGCTTTCTACAGCACAGCAATCGGTTCAGACGTTCAAGGCCAAGGCTCGCGAGGCCGAACGCAAAGCATCTAAATTCGAGCAAGATGTGCAGACCCAGCTTGATGATCTGGAAGATCAGAAGTTTGCTTTAGAGCAGGCACTGGAGGATGTCCAGCGCGATGCCGACGAAGCTACCGTTCTCCACGAAAAGGCTCTTCGTCGTCTGAAGCAGAAGCTTGAGAAGGCAGAGCAAGACAGGCAGCTTGTGGCCCACGGCCGTCACAACATCGACAACATGTCATCCTCCGAGAAGAGAGACCTTCAGGAATTGCTCCGTAGAACACAAAGCGAAGCAGACGCGCTCGAACACGACGTCATCCAGCAGCAGGAGACTATTGACGAGCTGACGGCCGCCGAAGGCTCGCTTCGTCGCAAGCTCGAGAGGGCGCGGGCGGAGCGCGCAGCCTACCGCCTAACCGCAGAGAAGCTGCAAAAGGACATCAGAGACCTCAAAGCGCTGGCCGCAGCGGAGAAGAAGAACCCGCGGGCAGCCCGACTCGCCGCCGAGACGGACGAGAGAATGAGGCAGACGGACGAGGCGCTCGAGACGGTCATCCGCGCCGCCGAGAACGCGGACGCAAAGCACACCAAGGAGCTCCGCGGCATGACACTGCAGATGGAGTGGATGCAGGCGCGGTGGAAGCGTGAGGTCAGCATGCGCGCCGACGCGGCGTACGCGAAGAAGTTCTTGCAGCTGGAGCTCGACATTGCCAACGCATGGTATGTACCCTTGACTGCCTTCTTCTTTTCTTTAGTGGTCCAGATACTAACGTCAGAATCAGCAACAAGGCTCAGCTGCGTGAACTGGAGCAGATCCGCTGCGAGTTGCTCGGCAGCCGCAGGCCCCTCCCACCCTCATCCTCCTCGACGACTGCGCGGAAGGAGACGGCGTCTGGCCGACCGACGCTCAAGACGGTTGCGACGATGGCGCGCTTCATTGCCAGGATGCAGATCTCGGCGCGCGAATGGGCCAAGCACGAGGCCACGCGCCAGAAGCTGGCCGACTGCGTCGACGAGATGCGCAAGACCAAGAGGCGGCAGCAGCTCAAGGTCGTGCATGCCGACGATGTTGCGGTCTAAGGATTTGTTGGTCACAGTCTCTCTCTGCCTATTCGGTCTCGCCTAGCCTCTACTTGTAGGTTCAGCCAGATTACGTTACACACCTAGATACCCCGGAGTATGGTGTTCCCGAAGGGGAAAAAACGGTGGATGGATGGGATGGTGAATGGTGAATGGTGAATGGCGGTTCGGATGTCTGCGAAGGTAACTCTCATCTGCGAAACGCCTTCCCTATTCATCACGTTGCAGCCGAGCTGAAGATGTCACGGCATCATCTCGGGTCCATCACACACCCATGCGCACATCCCATACGATCCAATCCAATCCCGCTCTCACCTACCTCCCTCAGCCAGCACATCCGCATTTCGCATTTAGCATACGGCGTTCCAGTCTTGTTCTTGTTTCTGCATAGCAGCAGCCGGTTGTGTTACAGTGTTACTGCCTAACTGCAAAAAAACCCTTGATGTTGCAGTGAAGCGAGCGAGCGGGCAATCTCCCTTTTCCTCTTTTGGAGCTGATGATCGTCCACATGTGGAAGACGGGATCTGCAAGCTAGACCCAGAATGGGACGGAGGATCAACTGGGGAGTAGGAGGTGGAAGGACAATCAGGACGATTATTGGTCTCTGCTTGGCATGCCGTACTGCTGCTCATGTCCCTCTTCTGTCTGGCGTATTGGGCGTCGAGCATGAAAACATTTGTTTTTTTCCCTTAAAGTTGGTTTATTGGTAGAATGACTGGGGGACGGTCGGCATGGGAAAGGAGTTTTGTCATATTTCACTTTGTTTGGGTCTACGCAGTAGGACATGATTTTCCAAACACGGCATTAGGTTGCATGATGAAGAAATTAGGAAGGAAGCATGAATACCTAAACAAACGTTTAATCGCTTCTTCTTTACACACACACACACACACACACATGGTGACATCTCTGAATGCATCCCGTATTGAAGTGACGTGAATCAACTTTTTATCTGATTTCCAGTTCTGAGAACTAGTCGAGTTGAGGGTAAATACTTGGCATCTCAACTATAGGAGAGGCGGAAAAAGGCGTCGGGAGTGTGGCAGCAAAGAAGACTTGCCCAAAAAAAAAACAAAATGAAACCACCCAAATGATACCTAAAACCCTCAATTTTCGCCATCCCAACCGATTCCTTTTCCAATGATGACCTATGCCTACCCATGTCTAACCAACCCTGAGTATTTATGTTTCCAGGCCGAAGTAGGGCATTATGACATATACAAGGCGGACCGGCCGTTTGACACACAGGATTATGATTTACATGACGAACAATAGGTTGGTGTCTGCGATGATGTTAGCTATGGTAATGACATGGATGTTAATTCGCTTCTTCTGGAAGGCAACATACTGAGGGGGTGACTGCAGGAGAGCTGAGGCTTCTGCGTGTAGCGAGTCGAGAGCTCGTCACGAATACTGTTCAAGAGCTGCACGTAGCTCTGTTGAGGGTTCTTCTTCATGGCCGTGATGAAGGCCCATGACATGGCACCGGTAGCCTGGGAAGCGATTGTTGCATCGGCCCTGCGCGGTGAAGTCAGTATAGATCCAACTTGCCAACAGCATTCTACAAATTCGCCTTGATATCGTCGGCATTTCCACACTCGTGGACCGAGGCAGGTCCAACGTGACTCATCGCCCTAGAAGCAAACCGCAGCCGCAGATAGGCTGCAATTTGTTCTAGAGCAATAAAAGAGTATCGTTGGCCTGATGCCACGTGTATAATATAGAAGACATGAAAAGAACATATCCAGAAAGAGACTTGCGCGCCCAAGACTTTTCCGTTTTTGTGGCCTCCGCCCACAGTCTCCAAAATTAGCCATCCCACCAGGAGAGGCAGTACAAGCAGGGGGCTGTTTTGTAAAATCTCCCGAAAATCCGTAAAGTGCAATGAAAACAAAAAGGGTATCATCAAAACAGAAAGAAGGGGGTAGCATACGAAGTTTGGTCATCTTTGCTGCCTGACAACATAACCACATCAGCAGGCGACGTCTTCGTGGCCATGGTGCGTTGGTAGGCATCTTCGCCAGTGGTTGCCTTCTTGAAGAAGCCCATGATGTTGCTTGCCACACCGCCCAGATCGCCCTGGCTGTATGACGAAATAGCACCGAGCAGACCTTGGCCGGCCTCCTTGGCCAGATTGGGCTCCTTGAGAATACCCTGGGTCGAGTAGATGTAAGGGAGATCAAGTGCAGTACCCGAGTGACAAGAGTCGAAGATAGCAGTCAGTCTCACACCAGCTTGCAAAGGTTGAACCATGATTCTGTGCATCTCATCATCCGTAATATGGCCGGTTTGTCGGAAGTCTACGGGGTAAATGACTTCATCGTATCCGTCAGGCTCGTCGCCGTCGAGATCCTTTGTCTGACCACCATGGCCTGGAGGTGTCAGCGTCTAAGTGCATAGTGGAAATGTCTTTCGCAGCTAACCTGAGTAGTGAAAGAAGAGCGAGTCGTTGGGTCTCGCGTCTTTCACGAGCCAATGCATGGCTCTGAGGAGATTCTGTTTTGTAGGCTGGCTCATGGGGTTTTGCTGGTCATCGGTGAGGATAACCATATCCTCCCTCTTATACCCAAAACGGTCGACGAGATATGCCGACATGTTCTTCACATCGTTGATACAGCCACGCAGCTGACCGCGTTGACCGAAATAGTTGATGCCAATCAGTAACGCCTTTCTCCGGCCGGTGCAATTGGAGTACTGGAAGTTGTAGTTACTTGGCGCGCCATGTCCAAATCTCTGCGGTTGTGAGGGCGGCGGTGGAGGAGCGTTGTGGTTTCCGTGCATGTAAGCATTCGAGTTCACGGTGGGTACACCTTCATAACGATGCTTGTCAACCCTACAATGTCCATGTTCAACGTACAACTTTCGAACTCACCTGGGCGGTTGTTGTAATTCGGTTGAGGCGGGGGCTGCTGATATCCACCATATTGTTGCGGAGGAGGCGGCTAAGCATTACATTAGTTGACGACAGTTGGACAACGCTGGCAGTCAGCCGTACCTGGTTGTATCCGTAAGGTTGAGGCGACGGCTGTTGGTAGCCGTAGCCCGACCCAGCGGGAGGGTATCCATTGTATCCTTGCTGTGGAGGGCTTTTGCTCTTCATGTTAGTGACTGAGCGTGGTCACGCGAACAAAGGTTGGAGTTCATACGGGTAATAGCTGCCCTGCGCGTATTGCTGCTGCGGCGGCGGGCCGCCTTGGTATCCTCCGTACTGGCCCGGGTATCCTGACATCTTGTCGAGACGGCGAGACTATTCTCAGACCCGATCTGTGTGTATTTGGTGACCCGAGGCCAACAAGCCGTGGTGGGAGGAGGTTCTAGCTCGACGAGATGGTCTTCGAAGAGGAGTGGGTTGACAAGGAAGATTTCGGGGACCGGACGTCTTTATAGATGGGCGACGAAGCTGAAGTACGGTTGTCGCGAGTTCAGGAAATGGTGAGGGGAAGCGAGGGGGTCGTGGTTGAGGTGTAGGGACGGGACGAGAATGCGCGTGCTTAGGTCTCGAGACTAGGTTGGTGAGCACAAGAGCAGTGTCAGCCTTTCTCGAGCGCGAAACTGGTTGGAGGAGCGTGGACAAGCTTACCAGGACCTTACGGTATGAGGAGGAGAAGGGCAGGAGGGCTAGCTGAAGGGCCTATCTCAAAGCGGGAAAGGGATCCTGCAGCAAGGGTGGCTAAGGACCCTAGTTGACTCTTTTGATGGTTTGGAGCCGGCTTGTGAGACGAATTGGGGTAGAAGACGGCTTCGGCAGAGCTTAGGTAGGCGGAGGTACAGTTGGGTAGGTAGACTTAGGACGGACGATGATTCAGTAGCTGGGCGCAACAGAGGTGTGAGCTGGTGTGGCAGTAAAAAGAAATGACGGCGCGGATATGCAATACAGCCTCGAAAAGAAAGCGAGCTGAGGTGATGAGAGAAGGAGAAGATGGAGGTGAACGGAGTGTTCGGGTTGGAGGAGCGAAGAAATGTGAGGAATGTAGAATGTGCTGGAGTATCCGTAAGGTAGGTAAGGTAGGAGCAGGGTACCTCAAGGCTCAAGATGCGCCGCGGCGTTGCGGCGCTGCGGCGTGGGTGTGTGGTGGAGGGGTTCGAGCTAAGGTTGTCGGCACGCACCAGGTCCACTGTCCATCCATCACCTTCACCTTTTCCTGGCTGGGCTGGATGTGTTTTGGGCCTTTGGCGGGGAGGGGGGTGGCCGGGGAAGAAACAACCTAAACACACAACATGCCTTACCTTAGCTTACAGATACCTTGCACTGCAATGTATTACACTCACTGCACTCGCTAGGGTATCTATCAAGGCACTGTCAAAAACACAACTGAACAGCCTTGGAAGAATGAGAACAAACGTGAGATCAAGGTAGTAAAGTGGAAAGAGAGCCGCAAAGTGGAGGTAGATGATGACTGTAGGGCTAACAATGGAAGACCATGGTACGTAATGTTGGATCAGTCGTCGTAGGCGCCGAGGAAAGCAACGGCATGTGGCAGGCCGGGCACCATGGCGATTGGACTTTGACGGAAGAAACGGCAGGGACGGCCTCAAAGCCCAAGTTCCCAAGAGTCTTTTGCTAGCGGAGGTGGATCCGAGTACCTCACGACGCCGTCCACCTCTCACTACAGTGAGTGCATGGGAGCATCTGATGTGTTTTGGTGGTGTTTTTTGCTGCATTAGCTAAGCAAACATGACCGGGGCAGGGTCTGCACCTACTAAAGGTAGTCTGCACCGGAGATGCTCTTACACTGGGAAGAAAAACAAACGCAGGGCAGGTGGCAGGTGCAGTGCAGACAATCAGCCACGAGCACAGGCCATACCAAGGCCGTTCCCAGCCCGGTGAGAACCGAGAAACGGGGCAGAGTTGACAGCGCTAGTCCCCTTTTAGGGCTTTCCTGTAAACAGCACCTGCTGCGATGCCACCATGTCACCATGTGATGGATGTCGCGTCCATCGTCCCTACCGTTCCTACCGTCCCTGACCTGGGTAGGTAACTGGGGCTCGGTGCCACCGTTCCTGCCCTGCCCTGCCCTGCGGCTTGCCATGCGTACCGAGTACGTACTTAGCATAGGCACCCTACGCAGTACCTTAGTACTTTGTACGGATTACCTTATTGCGTGCAACATTCGGACTTTTCTCTGCATCTTCGTCATTGCCTTAGTATTCACTTCTGGATCCGTGCAAGGTAACTTCAGATTGGCACGATCGAACTGCAAATCTCGTTGCTCACTGCCCTCCAGGCTTTCGCATTCCTCTCCCTGAGTCTTCACTCTTCAGCCTGCTCGCCAATCCAAGACAACCCTTGCACCGTCTTCAGCCGCAGCCATTCTCAACTCGATATGTGACTTGGGGCAACGGAACCTAACTTCATTCCCCGGAACGTCTCGGCAATGATCACCAAAACGGAACCGCACCAAAGCAAAGCATGTTCAACATGGCGACGAACGGCAAACTAACCACCCGCCGCCTCGCCCTCCCTTACACGGTTCACCCTAGCCCACAAGGGCACCAAGCAATACCGTCTACCAGCTTCACCTTCCACCCTTTACCTCTGCGTCACTCCCGCCCAACCCAGGACCCAACCAGTCGCTCTAGACTCTAAACACACTAGGTATTCGATCTTGATCCATCATCCATTGGCCCTGGCGCTGCTGTGGTCGGGTCGTCTCCACCCGACCAAGATAGTCCCGCTGAACTCTCTGCCCCGGTCAAGCTGAGACTTGACGCCAAAGTTGACCGCCCTACGCCGATCCAGCAGGGCTATGCCGCGCTACCTACCTCCAACGGCACATTTAGACGCCATATCGCGTCAGTCGAACCAAACATTGAGTCGTTTGCCCAGCGCTGAAAGCGCCTCACGATGGTAACACAGCTCGGACTGCATTAGAGTCGGCTGCCTCCGCGCGGTAAAACCATCCGCTTCGCTTCCCTTCCCTTCGAACCCCAGCTGTTGAGCCGCTCGATCAATATGTCATGTTGTCGCTGTCGGTTTTCCGACGTTAGCAACATTGTGCCAGCCCAGCCATCATCCCGTGGACTAGTGTCGCTACTCAATCGGATGCTACATGGCTCCATTTTCAACGGCAGTCTTCTGGCTGACATTGGGCTCATTACCAATTTGACGGTCGTGGCAGATGGTCCAACCAGAAGCAATAGACACCATGAGCCCAGGATTCATCAACAATTGAGCTTTCTAAACGTATTGCAGATCGATATCGGCACCCTAGTCGTCCCAGGTCATCCGTCCCGTCTCCAACCTCGTTACGGAGCATGCGCCGAATTCGAAGCTGTCTTGCCGACATGAAAGCCACTGACTGACCCGAGCCCGGTGCTGTCATACCTGACCGACTGCACGCAACCTCAACTCTCCGTCTCGTTGCTGTCACTCAGACAGCAGTCTTCTAGCTGGAGCTCTAGTGAAAGCGCGCCGTCAATAGTGACGGACGCGCTGTTCATGTCGTACGAGGGGATTCCCGTCCCTCGTTCGAACCGTTTTGGTGCGCAGTCCCAGCAAAACAGCGCCACTGAGAAATCGGAACGCGACGTCTGTGGTTGATGGGAGCTCGAGTACGCACTCGTTTATTCCCCGATCTCAATCTGGTAAGCTTACGGGATTGCCGATCACTGTGGCGCTCCTGACGGACAGGGGCCGCGTCGATTTCTGACGAATCATCGCCCTTCGCATTTTTCCCTCTTACCCCTGGTACCTAGCATTTGGGGTCCAGAAGCGACACCACCACGCCGGCATCTGTCCGAGACCCCAACTGACTGGTCTTAGACTACTTCATCTGGACGGGTCATATCTCACAGTACGTGCTGAGTCCGTAGTTGCGTGTCTTTGACACCTCACCGCACAAGAAGTATGCAGACGGTATATGCAGCCTCCATTCCGCCAAGGAGTCTCGATTCCAAGCCCTCCAACGACTCGAAAAGGTAATTTCGACCTCTGGCGGCCAGCAAGACCTGTCCATCCAAGTCCAAAAGGAGGTGGTCCGGCAACGTGGAGAGAAAGCATGCGGCCATGTCTCTGAGCAGGCCAAAGCTAAACATCACCCCCGGGAACGTGGCTGAAATCGATTGGACAGCAAGTTGTCGACTTACGAGAGACGTGGCTATGGGCTAAAAGTTCAACGTTCGGCTGGCGCATAGCATTTCACCAAGCCTCGTGGGCATTTTGTCCCAAGCCTCTGGTGCATGGCTGCATGGCGCCGTCGTCCCGGGACATTCATCCTTACCATCGGAACCAATGGACGTCAAACTAAGACCGTGATGCACCGCACGCATCGTGGCCTGGTGGCATCTTCCGTCACCACTAGACACGGTAGGCTTCTGCTGCCCAACAGTGTGGTTAGCCGACTTTTAAGGTTGATGCACCAGCATATCACAGGTCTCAGCTTCACGTTTTCCCGCATTTTGACCTCGATCTAGGGTGAATGGGCTTTCATCTCCTGCGAAAGTTGGATTTTGTAGAATTTCGTCCGGAACCAGGTCTCGGAAAAATGCGATCAAGCGACTCCCCATCACCTAGTCTGGCAGTTTCTTCACTCTGCTCCTTGCTTCCCGGGTGGTCTCATTCATGATCCATCGTCATGCTAGCAGTGTCTTCGGCTCAGCTCAACGGATCCCCATGCCCAATTTAGATGCGTTGATGTCTATAACCGTGATCTTTACAATCTCGAGGCTTTTCAGCTTTCGTATCCGAATGCCATTTCCGTCGAAACCAGCCCACCGGCTTCATTGCTTTAGTCAACCGCCAAACCAAAGCCTTTCGGGCGCAGGGAGCTCAACTACACGATGCTAGAAGCTCAATCAATCGATGGAATACGACAACCAAATATGCAGGTATTGAACGGCTTCCGGTGGCGCTGCGGCGATGGTCCTAGCTTGCTGTGGAAGCCCGCGAGACAGACATCCCGTAAATATTTCTCGTAACCGAGCGGAAGGGGCGGGGGGGAGGGCCGCCTGCAGTAGCATGTCTTTGATGATAACACCAAATTATCTCATAGTTGGATTGCCATTTCAATGCATTTTAGACTCTCCGGGTCGGATGCGGATGTTGGTTGGCCAGAAATCGGATGCAATATGTAAGGGATGGCCCTGTCGACAATTGCATTCTTTGGCCTTGAAGTCTTGGACTTGTACGTCCATTCACGGCTTCCCGAGTGATCAACACGCATGAGCACGTGCAGCCTTTCTTGCGATGTGTTGTGTTGCTTTACCTTCAGCATTGCGTTGTAGTTCATA